GGCAGTGATGCTGACCCCACTGTCCCACCCTGGCAGCCAGGGGCACTCACCAGGCTTGTGGGGCTGGCACGGGGAGTGCTTGCGGCGGCGAGCCCGGCGGTAGGTGCAGTCGTACTCCTCGCTGAGGGGTGAGCGGGGAACGCTGTCTGCCTGAGGAACGAGAGGGGCTGCTCATCAGGGAAAGGCTGTCCTGTCCCATCCATGTGTGCCACGGGGGCTACAGTCCTTGTTATGTCCTCTGAAGGTGAAGCTACCTCTGTATCTTCACCACTGCCCTGTCCCACCCTGTGCCTCCTGGACTGGTTTCAGATTATCCTGAAGTTGTCCTTGCTGCTCTGAGACTGAGATAAATGTGTCAGGGCCATGGGGAGGGAAGGAGCACCCTGACAAGTGGCAGAACATCCCAGAGCGGGACAGGACATGGAGGGAATTTTACTTTCTTGGCTATATTTCAGGTGTCTGAAAAAAAATGTCAGGAAAGGACAAAGTTCAGTTACACACTATAAAAGTAGAAATGTCCTGCTGTGGGGGAATCAGAACTCCCTGGAGAATGCCGTGGGAAATGTGGCTGTTGCACCTCCTGACATCCTTGCTTCAGCCCTCCCACTTGCCACATTTAAGCACTGGCTGCATTTGCTCCCCGGGGCAGCCCTGGCACTCACATCTCGCAGGTTGAAGGTGATCTCTAGGTTGCTCCAGAAGTTGTCAGAGAAGGCTGGGTACATGTCCAAGACCTCCAGCAGGTCCTCACGCTGGATCTTGTGCAGGTCACAGTAGGTCAGGGCCCTCACGTCGGCGTTGGACTTCCCTGGGCGGGCGTAGAGGCTGATGGGCTCCCCAAAGATGTCGTTCTTCCCTGTGCCAAGAGACAGCTCATTGTGGAGGCATGGGCACCCATCACTCCTTCAGCTATTCTGGTCCAGCACCCTTTATTTTGGGGCTTGTGAACAAGGGGATGCCCAGCAACCCCAACCCTGACTGTGTGTGTTGGGGATGACACTGTGAAAGCCACCAGTGATGGTGACACCAAGACAGAGCAGGGGATCATCAGTGATGGCTGGAGACTGCTGAGCCATGCTCTGCTCTCCTCATTCCTTTGCAGCTTCCCTCTGGCATCTCTCAGGCATCTTCCTTGCCCTGTCCACTGGTGTGAGGACCCACCAGATGCTGAGGAACCAGGATGTGGGGAAGTTCTTTACCCTCACCTGCCACCCTTCCTCCACTGCTCACTGCTCACCACCCTTTGCCCCTCGCCCATCACCCCTCGCAGAAGGAAGAACTTTTTCACCTAAGATGGCCACCACAATGTCTTCCCTGAGGATCTCAATGGAGCCGCGGGAGATGAAGTAGAGGGTGGTGAGCACATCTCCGTAGTGCACCAGGGTGTCACCAGGAGGGGCATGAGTGGTCTTGAACTTCATGGCCAGGGCGCGCAGGCAGCCCTTGCTGGCGCCCCGGAACGCTTTGCAGTTCTGCAGCAGCGTGCGGTTCAGGTGCAGGCAGATGTCGGCCTGCAGGCAGTCAGGGAAGCCCTTCAGCACCTGTGGAGAGCCAGGGGGAGATGTCATCACGCCACTGTCCCTGGGAGGGAGCGCTGTGACAGAGCTGAGAGGCTGTGTGGCACTCGGCATAAAACAATGGGGCCAAACAGGGAGACTGTGGAAAAGCCAAAGGTGGAGACATTTCCCATCCCTGGAAGTGTTCAAGGCCAGACTGATGGGGCTTGGAACAGCCTGGTCTAGTGGAAGGTGTTCTTGCTCATAGCAGGGAGTGGAACAGTTTGAGCTTTGAGGTCCCTTCCAACCTTAAACCATTCTGTGATTCCGTGATTTCCACCATCTTTTGATCTTCCCTTAGTGGATCCCTGTCTGTCGCTGGCTTTTACTTCTTGTGGCTGGGGACAACAGCACTCCCAAGCAATAATTAAAAGTAACCAGCTCAATCTATTTATACCCACTGGTGGCATATCCCCTTTTTCATCTTTACACCCACTAATCTTGGATGAATGAGAGCAGAAACTGGCACAAAGAGCACAAAAACCTTAATTAAACAGCACCTGCCTGAATGCCAAGAAACAGCAGCACAGGACAGTTGTGTGCACTGGCAGCTAAATATACCTGTGCAAATACCTCATGTTGAACAAAAGCTGAATCTGAAGGTGACATCAAGGTAAAACTCACAATATGGAGAAAGCTGCTGCCACCAATGACTCACAGTGGCAAGGTGAAAACCACCTGGGTTTGGGTTTTTTTTGGAGAGCGGCATATGGCCCTGGGGTCCTCCTTGCTGTCCTCTTTGCTCACATCCCGCTGGTGGCCAAATCTGGAACAGCCATGCTGGGGCTGGTGAGCACGACCTGTTCCTGGCTTCAGCTCGATCTCCCGTGCTAGCAGAAGTGTTTCCCTATTGGGAAATCAGGGGTGGACGAATTGATCAGGCTGTGGGGTGATTGATGAGATCACGCCGTGTCTCTGCAGCGGCCAGCAGGAATTGGTGTGAGCAGCGGCATGGCTGAGCTGCAAGCTCAGCTCTCCCTGGGGATTTGTGACCTGGGTTTGTACTAATCCAAGAGCACCTGTGCTTGGGTAGGGTGGCACTGCTTCTCGTTATTGCCACTGATGTCCTGCCCAGGGTGTCCCCTCCACCTCAGAGGTTTAACCCAAAGCTCTCCCAGCAGCAAACCCCCAGATGCCACCCAGTTGTTTCATGTGGCAGCAGCAACTTTAGAGGGAGATGCTGAATTCATACAAATCTGTGTCCTGATGCTGCTCAGGATCAAATCTTAAGGAAAAGAAGGAGCATTAGCAGGGAATGAGTGGGCTGATAACCTCCCCAGGGCTAAGAGTCCGGGAATATGAAGCCTTATGTCTCTCCTTGGCTTATCCTTTCTCATTCCTCTGCCTTGCTGCTGGCCAAGCCATCATGTCTGTGCACTGAATCCCAGGGCTGTGAGTGCAGTCCCCAGCCCAGAACACCTCAGCCAAGCCGAATCCTCATCCCCACGGAGCCCCGGCGCTGCCGGCTCGGAGACACGGCGCCTCTCCAGCACAGCTCCGCCATTGATTCCCCTTTGCTAACAAACAGCTGCCTCTCTGGGCTCTAATTAAAATGGATCGAGGTTTATTTAAATGCCCTCCTTTCCCTGCTGCGAGAGCAGGATGCACTTTGCTTAGCAACCGGTGGTGTGGAGAGGAGCTGGATCGATACCTGCTCTGCTCCTGTGACACCAACAGACACCAGCCTGAAAGTGCTCAGTGCCAAGAGGGACTCTGAGCTCCCCACCAAACCTGCTCTCTGGCCAAGAAAAGTGCTCATGATCCTGGAAAACCTCTGGGTGGATGTAAAGGAACGGGCAGAAAAAGGAGAGAAGGAGAAAGGGGGATGCAGGAGGTGGAAATGCAGGAGGTGTATGGATAAAGTCTGTCTCCAGCCTCCCAAGTCCCCTGCCCCTATCCTGATCAAAAGCATGGAAATCTTTGGCTAGACCCAGATCTAGATGCTGTGTTGTTCAGGACAAGGTTCTGAGAGGACACAGGGCCTGCCTGCCCGTACTCACCGCGTTCATGTCGATGCCGTTGGTGTAGGACCAGGCGTGCTGGAAATACTCCTCCAGGCGCTGGCGCAGGGGGTTGGGGATCTGGTGGAAGCGGATGAACTCCTTGACCCGCAGCATCTGCGTGTGGTAGCGTGCCGTGCCTGAGTAGAGGCGCTGGATGATGGCTGAGACGTTGCCGAAGATACTGGCGTACATCAGAGCTGAAACGAGAGGGCAGGGCTCAGCGGGACATGGCACGCTGCATGTCCAGCTACACGAGACCTGGAACCAACAGATTCCCCAAAACCCATATCTACCAGGACCTGAAAACATGTATTTCTATCCCCCCATCCGTTTGTCTGTGCAGAAGAGGCACAGGCAGGGGGAGATGCTCCAACCTCCAAAGCAGGGATGGGAACAGCGGGACATGCGCAGGCACTCACAGCCAATGAGCATGACACAGATGGAGAAGATCTTCTCGGAGTTGGTGTTGGGGGACACGTTGCCGAAGCCCACGCTGGTGAGGCTGCTGAAGGTGAAGTAGAGGGCAGTGACATATTTATCCTTGATGGATGGGCCAGAGGAGAGGTCGCTGTCGTTGTAGCGCTTGCCAATCTGGTCGCCCAGGTTGTCCAGCCAGCCGATCTTGTGCTCCATGTAGGGCCTCTCCACGTTGCCAATGGCATACCAGATGCAGGCCAGCCAGTGGGCGATGAGGGCGAAGGTGCACATGAGCAGGAAGAGCACGGCTGCCCCGTACTCCGAGTAGCGGTCCAGCTTCCGCGCCACCCGCACCAGCCGCAGCAGCCGGGCCGTCTTCAGGAGGCCAATGAGGGTGGTGGTCTGCAGGGGAGAGGTGAGACACCTCAGGGACCAGCAAAGGATAAATATGGCATGTTCCAAGGGCACGTTCCCAGCTGAGCCGTGCTTCCTTTGAAGGATAAAAATGCATTTCTAGAGTGTGAATCACCTTGTCCTGGAGGTGACCTCTGAACTGGGTCAGATGAGTCACAGCACAGGAAGGGCAGTTTGCCTCTGCTGATCATAAAGGCAGCAAGCTCTGGGATTAGAGGTGAGCAAGTGAGAAGAGCCAAGGCCAAGCCTGTGTTTCCTGATGGGTTCTCTCCTTGCCAGCCATTGCTCCCACAAGTGCTGCCTTTCACTCCCAGATGTGGAGCCTCTGGGCAGTACAGTAACTACAGGGCTATCCCTCTGCCAACATTTTGAGTTTGCCTGGCAGTGCACCCCCAAATTCACCCTCATTGGAGTGTGGGGTCAGCCCTTAAACTGAGCCCCAGCCTGCTCTGCTGGGTCAGCCTTAACAAGGGGAGTGGATCCACTCTGAGCACTTAGGGTAGGGACTGCCTGACCCTAAAAAATGAAATCCCAGGTCCCAGCTGCTTAAAAATCTGTAAAGATTTTTAAACACCCTTCTCCACCCTGTGACCAACAACCCCTCTCCCCATGGATTTAGCCATCCACCACTTTCATCAAACCGCCCACATCCCTTTCCTTCTTTCTCATACATCTCTCCCTGTCCATCCACGTGTCCCTTCCTGTCCTGATGGACCCTGCTCTTACCTCATCAGAGCCGGAGCGGAAGATGAGCAGGTCGAAGGGGATGGCAGCCACCATGTCGATGAGGAACCACCCCTTGAAGTAATGGATGGCGATCTTGCCGGGGTGGCTCACCACCTCGTCGTTGATGTTGACGTAGGTGGTGCGGAAGTTGATGACAATGTCCACGATGAACATGATGTCCACGATGAGGTCAATGATGTTGAGCGGGTCGCAGGAGTAGCTGCAGTCCCAGCGCTTCTCCTCCACCTGCTCCTCGTTGAGCAGGAAGGCGGCTGAGTAGGGGGTGAAGACGGCTGTGTAGATGACCAGCAGGAGGATGAGCCAGTCCCACACGGCCTTGAAGGGGCTGTAGTGCAGGATGGTCCATCGGTGGATGCGCGGCGCCTGCAGCTTGTACTCGGGCAGGACGTCAGCGCCCAGGGACAGCACCTGCCAGGAGAGGGGTGTAAGCAGGATGGGAAGCCAGGAGAGAGGCTGGATAATGCCCAGAACCAGGCAAGGGACTTCCATGTGCTGGTAGAGCATCGAGGAGCACACAATGGTTTCCTACAGCTTTTTCCCCTTTGTTGGCTGCGTATGTTTTTGTCCAGTTTTCACTCTGGCTGACACCAAGGTCGTTGTCTGCCTCTGATGGTCTCAGCACCTTTGGGGCAGCTTCTTATCTGCTTTATGGCATTCTGACCCAGCAGAGAGGAAAGTGCCTGCTGCTGAGCCTCCTTCTGCCCTCAGCTCTGTGCCACCTGCTTGGGAGCTGCTGTGTGTCCCTGGTGCAGGGCTATGGGATGGGCAGCTTGGAGATGCCCTCGCATGGCTGTGTCACCCGAGGTGACAGCATATTCTGCATCCTGCAAGCCTTTCTTGGCCTTGGCAAGTATCTTCCCCTGGATGTCCTTCTGGCACACTTGTCCTCCAAGCAGAGGGATAGCTCGGGCCACCTGTGAGCATCCTCCCATGCTGTCATGTGTCCCCAGGCTTGCTGCTTTCATGGGGACACTCCACAGCCCTGGTGAGCTCCCCACACACCCAGGCCTGGCCCAGCTCCCCCTCCAGGACCAATGCCAGCTGCTGGTGACTCTAAAGCCACTGTGGGGACACAACACAAGACACTGGGTATGGGAGGGGTGGGGCTGCCCTGCTTTGGGTGCTGAGGGGTGGTGGCATGAAGGGGCTCATTTGGAGCTGGAGGCAGCTGCATCCCCTTCCTGCCCTTGCTGCTCTGTTGTCCCCCAGTGTCCCTGTGGTGCTGGGACCAGTGCCAGTTGCAGAGCAGGGTGAGGGGCACCTCAATTCTCTCTCCTGGCACTGAGCCCCCAGCTAATAGGGAGCATTTTGCTGGGCTGCAAAGGAGAGGAGGGAGGAAAGAGAAAAGAGGAGAAAGGGGGATCCACGGCAACAGTGGAGCATCCCAAGGCAACAGTGATGAGCATCACCGTGGCTGGGGCAACAGTTCTGGAAGAAAGAATAGATCTGGAAGAAGGAAGGGATCTGGAAGGAGGAAGAGATCTGGAAGAATGAATCTATCTGTCTTCCTTCCTGACAGGAAGGATCGAGGTTTCTTGTTCAAGGGTCTCCCAAGGGCTCCTGACACTGCGATCCAAAGCGGATCCACCCCTGTACCCCCATCCCACAACTAGCCCCAGCCGCTCCCACATCCCAGAGCCCCAGCACACTGGATGACCCCATTCCCCATGGCCGTCCCCTGCTCCTACCTGCCTGCAGCTGGCCCTGCGCCCCAGGCGGCAGCTGCCCCTCGAGCTCCGGGTGTCCACCATGGGCGCCCCCAGCCCCCCGGGCCCGGGCAGTGTCCGGCAGGGCGGCCGCAGCGCCGGGGCCGGGGCATTGCCCACGCAGGCTCGCAGGCACTCGGCCAGGCGGGTGGGAGGCATGGGCACGAAGGGCACCCGCGAGCCCGGCCCGCGTTAATCAAAGGCGATCGATGCCGGGCCCCGTGGGGACGGCAGCGCCAATGGAGCAGCGGGAGCCGCCGACGTCGGTGGGGACGGAGAGGGGAGGGATTGGAAAAAGTGACCCAAGAGCAATCGTTGTGGGGGGAATGAGGCACCAGCTGGGTGGGGGACCGGCTCCTGCGGGGATGGTGGGGAAGGGAACGAGGCAATGCTGATAAAATGATTGATCTCAAAACCGGGATGCACCTGGAAGGGCTGGGATGGGCTCCTTCAGCTTGTGTCTGGGAAAACCAGCAGTGCTCCCAGCCTCTGCAGCTGGATGATAGTTCTGCCTGGCTAGAGGAAGCTCTGAATTCAGGACACCAAATACTGTTCCCTGTGCTGGGGCACCTGCCCTGGCCCTCGTGCCTGGCACCTAGCTCTTGTTGCAGAAGCAAGAACAGCTTAAGCACTCTTGCTTTCCAGGCAGGAATGAATAAAAAAACACATCCCCAAAGATCTGAGGCAGAAAAGGGGAAAGAAACAACTCCCAGAAGAGCACCCAAACCAACACAGAGCTAGGGAGCAGCTGCAGCCTTGGTCCTCTCTGCCCCTGAGGATTGGGAAAGTCAGCCTTGGGTGGCCTGGGTGGCCCTGGGAGTCTGAAGGTGGCAGTGCCAGTGTTCCCTTTGTGCCCTTTGTCCTGGTGGGGTGCTGGGTGCTAGCAGTGGGTCAGGGAGTGCAGAAGGGAGAAGGAGGAGGAGGAGGAGGAGGAGGAGGAGGGTGGAGCAGGGTGTGTGTGGGCTGTGGGTGACAGAAGGAGGAGGCTCCTGTGACCCTGGCTAACCCAGGCCATTGCTCATGCCCCATGGTGCCCTGGCACCATCACCTTCCCAGTTGTCCCCCGGTGTCCCTTGCCTGGTGCTGGGGATTAGGGGACTGACCTGAGGTGGGGGCACTCCAGAATCACCAGGAGAGCCTCAAACATGGGTAGCTGGGCAGGATCAGGCCCATGGTGCTGGCTGCAGGCTGGCAGTGACCCAGTGTCACTCCCTGGCACAGCTCAGCCCCCCATCCCTGTCCCCAGCACCCTCCTGCCCTGATGGGGGGATTGGGACACATTCCTGCTCCAGTCCTGCTGACCCCAACCCCACAGCATCCCCGTGTGCCTCCAGCTGTGCTCCAGAGCCCTGTCAGGCTGTGGGGCCTCCATTGCAGCTCCGTGCCAGCTCAGTGCAGGCCAGACCATCCCAAAGAGCCCGGCTCCACTCCCTGCCCACCCGCCGGTATTTTTAGTCGCCGTCTCGCCGCTGTCTCTGCCTCACCATGAATTATTTACCAGCCAGGAGCAGGGAGCTGTGGCTTGGCCAGGAGGTGTGGGGGACACTGGGGTGAGGACAGGCAGGGGCAGATGCAGCAGGGAGGAGAAGTCCATCCTGTCCCGTCCCACCACGTCCCATCCCACTTGGAGATTGAAAGTGAAGATTGACCACAGTGGGGGCTGCCCTGCAGGGCCCTGCAGCCACCAGCTCTGACCCCATCACTCCACACCCAGCCACTGACCCCACTGTGACAGCCACCCCAGTGTCACCATTCATTCCTGGTGTGCTCCTTGTGATGGGACCAGGGCATGGAGGCTGCTCACTGTCCCTCTGGGGAGCTCAGGGGCCATCCTGGGTCACTGCAGTCACTCCCAGATTAGAGGGACCAGGGGGAAAACAAGCCTAAGAACTGTTCCATGATGTGTGCAGAGGGGAGCCCATCCCCTGTGCATGGAGGCTGTGAAATTAAAGGTTTGCTGGCACTGAGACAGAAGGAGAATCCTGCATAGCACCCCACTCTGATGGAGCAAACTCCCAAGCCTGGAGGCTTTTCTGGGGTCAAATGGCTGCATTTTCATTAAATTTGCCCTGGGCTGCTGCTGGCACCAATGGGAGGTGCCCTTAGATGTATTTTGTACGTTGAGGCTCTCCATGCCTCAGTTTCCCCACGGCTGGACGAGCTCCTTACCCGGGATTGTGGGATACATCAGCACGCTGATTTCCCCATGGGATGCACTGCTCCATGCGTGTCCCTCTGGGTGACAGCAAGTGTCCCCTGCAGTGACAGTGCAGTGCCACCTGCTGTCTCCCAGGGGATCCTCGGTGTGCTGACACCAGGCCAGGTCCGTGGCCGGGCACCCCAGGGGCTCCATTCCCAGCGCTGGGGGGCAGAACAGTGCCCAGATCCCCCCACAAAAGAAGCCACATGCACACACAAACATGCAAACACATGTCCCCCTCAAGGCCACCATCACGAGCAGCTCAGGCTGGTGTTTCCCCAGCCACAAATTGCCAGAAATGCTCAGTTAGGGGACTAAAATGAGAATTTCAGCCATTCAGAGGAAGGCTTAACCAAACCTAGGGATACTGGAATTTCCTGGGGTGGAATCTCCAGGTGTCACTGCCCTCTCTGCTTCTCTCCTCCCAAAGCCACCAGAGTGCTTGTGACTGTCCCCCAGCAGCAACACCAGCAACCCATTGTCACTGACATACTTTCTGAAAAATCCTTCTGTTAGGATTTTTCTCCTGAGAAGCTGAGAGGCCTCAGGAACAAAATGTAAACAGGAATTATCTGCTTGCTTGGAATGTGGTTTGGAGGTTGTTTACCAACAGGTGCATCTTTGATTGGTCTCAAGTGAATTATTTCTACTTGGTGACCAATCACAGGTCCAGCTGTGTCAGTCACAAGATTTTTATTATTCATTCCATTCCTTTCTGTGCTAGCCTTCTGATGTCTCCTTTCTCTTTCTTTAGTATAGTTTTAATATATAATTTTCTTTTAATATAATAAAATAATAATTATTAATATTTATTATATAAAATATATAATAAATATATTATAAATTACTTAAAATTATTTGTATTATAAATTATTGATATTATATTATATTAATTATTTATATTATAATTTTTTATAAATCATTATAATAATGAATGATTAATATTTGTTATATAAAATATATAATAAATATATTATAAATTATTTATAATTATATATTATATATAATTATACCTATAATTATATATATTATAGATATAAAATTATATATAAATTATATATCTTATATATATTATATATATATAAGATATATAATTATAAATAATTATAAATTATTTGTAATAAAATAATAAATCAGCCTTCTGAAACATGGAGTCAAGATTCTCCTCTCTCCTGGAGACCCACAAACGCCACCACCAGACCCCACCACTGCCTTGGTGGCACCTCAGGGCCCCCATACCTGTGTGACCTTCTCGGTGACGTTCTGGGTGCGCTCCATCACCTTGTGGGGAGCGATTATCTCGATCTCCGTGGTGGAGCCCGAGCGGTGCTTCTCCAGGTTGAACTCCACGAAGTTGAGCGTGAACTGGGGGATCTGGCTGATGGTCCTGTACTTCATGAGGTCCGAGTCCGACGTGGAGTTCGGGGGGTTGGGTTTGACGTGGGAAGCTTCTGGAAGAGGAGGGAGAGGAGCACTGAGAAGGGCAGCGGGAGCAGGAGCAGATCCCCAGAGCCCTGACCTCCTGCAGGACCTCCAGGAGCTGGGGGCCACCACAAGGTGCCACCAAAATGTGCCAAAATCTGCTTGGCCATAAAGGCTTGGCATCTTCAGGCTGGCTCAGCTGTGGGATGCCCAGCCTGGGATGCCTGAGAGAGGGCTGTTTTCCCCACACATCACCCATCTTTTCACCACTAAACCTCCTGCAGGAGGATCAGAGCAGCTGCCAAAACACAGAGACACTCAAGTGTCCTTTGCTAGCCCTGATGACTGCAGTGGCTTGGGGAACAACCCACTGAGATTCACCAGGGAGAGATGCCAAAACTGGCATGAAAACAGACAGGAGGAGGTCGTTCTCCTCCACCCTTTGCCTGACAAACACAGCTCCTGAGCTGCTGTGCTTGTTTTTGGCCAAACTGAACCAGGAGTTGGATGTATCCTCCAGGTAGGGAGGTCAGAGCTTTCTCTGGAAGAAGAGCTGTAGTGAATCCTGATATTTCTCTCTGGGGAGCTGCCTCTGGGTCACCCCAGGGCAGGAGCAGGGAGGAAGCTGTGTAGGTGTCATGGTCAGGCTTGTGGCAACGTGTTGTCATGAGTGGGAGCCTGTACCCAGACCCAGAGCTCCAGGAAGGTCCCTAGGCTCTGTACTCAGTGTGTACCAACCTTTCCAAATCCTACAGGCAGGGCAGAGTTGTATTTTCAATTTTTTACCCCTTTTAACCCTTGCATTCTGACATTGACCCAAGTGGTGGTGTGGGCAGGAGGTGTCTGAAGAGGTTGTGAAGGTGCTCAGTTGCCATCCTGCTGCCACCCTTCTCCCTTCCCTCCCTCCACATCGTGTCTCCTCCTGAGGGTCTGTAACCTGTGACTATTGGAGGATCATGAACCCCCAGCCCATTTTTGCAGCCAGATCCCGCACATTGATCTCTCTTATCCCCAGCTGAGAGCCTTCTCTTTCTAGACCTCCATCTGATTTGTCCTCATCACTCTCACGGGAACCAGAGGTCTGGATGTGGATAGCATGATGAAGGATTGTTCCCTCCAGCCCTTCAGAGTGGCCTGGCCGGTGTCTCACCCATCTCCAACACATGGACACAGCTCACACTGCACATGCCTGCAGAGCCCTCCCCTCCCTCCAGGGAAGGTGGGATGGCATCGGGATGCCCCTGGTGTGGGACAGCCAAATGCAACCTCACACGGTCTCACACCTCACACACAAACCATGGATGGCTCTACCTACAGAGCAGGACCTGCCTGAGCAGGGAGTCACATGGAGACCAGCGAGTTTTGGGGAGAAGACCCGGGTAATCTCCCCTTTGCAGAGGGAAAAGAGAGCGAGACCTCCCCCCCGAGATGTGCTGGGGCCGTGGCCAGAACCCTGACTCCCGCAGTAGAACCGACGGCTCCGGGGTTTTCCCTACCTGAGTTTGCCCTCCTTTCCCTGAATTTTCTCTGGAACTCAGACCTCGCAGCCTCAAAGTTGTCCAAGGAGGAGACCCTGCGGAGGCTGTGGAAGCTGCCCCCGGGGCGAGACCGAAAGAAACCCCATGCGGGGTGAGGGCCCAGCACGGGAGGCTCTTGTTTCGGGGACGAGTGTTGTAGGGTGGGGTCGGCCTCCAGGCTCGGCCTCCGCTCCTTTTCCAGGAGGGATTCGGTCTCTGACTGCATACAGTTTTCCTTGGGCGATGTCTTCAAGTCCCTCAAAATCAGGGAGTCACCACCAGGCTTTAAGACAGCCAGGAGAAAGCGTTGTATTAGAAGGAGTCCCCGCGTGCTGGGGGCAAGGTGAGGGAGCCGGGGTAGGTAAGAGGAGAGGCAGAGGGCTGGGAAGCACTGCAGCTCCTGAGGTCATCTCCAGCTGGACCAGGACCTGCTTTGGAGTGGGGCCACCGAGTCCCTGGGGACTTGGCAGCTCCCAGCTCCCGCCAGAGGCCGCGGGGAGGTTTGCGAGGCGATGCTGCACAGGTGGAAGCAGGTGAGAGCAAGAGGAGAGACCTAGGGCAGGCTTGCCTGCAGTCCCTGCTGTGCCATGCATTTCTCTGAGTGTGCCACCCCTGGGGCTGCCCTTCCCTCCCCTGCTGCAGGAGCTCAGGCCACCACTGAGGCTCAGTGCCCAGGCCCTGTGCTGGTGTTCATTGGGGAGGATGTGCTCTGCACCAGGGAGCACTGGAGGAGCTGCTGGGTTTGCAAATTTGGCCATATTGCTCCTCCTTCTCCCACAGCCACGGTAAAGCATGGCTAAACGTTTTTCCATGGAGACCTGAAGGGTTTCCAGACCTTAATTTCTGCAATGGGGTGTGCAAAGCAACCACCTCATGGAGTACAAACCCATGAGAATGTGTGCCTCCAGTAGTACCCACAGGAGGAACTGTGGCACTCCTCATCATCCCTAAGGCCCTTTAGGGCAGGTTTAGGATGGGGTGCCTGGAGAGGCTGGCTGCTGGCCCTGCATCTCTGGGCTGTGGCCACTTGACCAAGCTCCAGCGAAATGATGCATCATCAGGCTGTCCTCAATGCACATTTCCCATTCCACACTGCATTCCATTTCAATTCCACACTGCAGTGCCCCATGCAGCTCCAGCCTTGGGGTACCCAGAGCTTTTAGCAGTGCTGGTGCCTATGGGAATGATGTCCCCAAAGCATCTGATAACCCTGCACACATCTTCAACCTACCATAGGCACAACCTGTGAGAAGACAGGCACCTTCCATCTCGTTATATCTATGATTTGGGGAAGCAGATTTATCCAGGCTGCCTGGATACACCTGACCCTGGCACCTGGGGATGCCTTAGCAGAGCAAAAGCCTCCTGCTCACAGCCTTGAGCTGCAGCATTTCAGAATACAACAACACTTTGACTAGAGCTACCCTGAGCACTGTCAGGAAGCCACCAAGAACAGCCATCTCTAAACAAGCCCCACCAACAGCTTTTCAAGGTTGGTGACAGCATCACCTTCCATCATGGCAAGTACAATCTTTGCTGGAGGGCTGAGAAGCTGGACCTGCCTGTGCTGCCTGCTCGCTGCCAGGGAATCATGGGGAAATGAGCCTGCCAGTCCTTGCTCAGAGCACACCACGCTCCTACAGCCGCCAGCACGTCCCCTCCTTGAGGTGGGGACAGCTCCCTGGAGCTCCACCAGCCCGGACAACTCGGGCTATGGAGGCAGAGCTTCCTCCCAGCTTTGGCACGTGTCCCACTCCCCCCTCGAGCCGCGGGGTGTGCAGAGCAGCAGGGAGGAGCTGCAGCCCACACAGCCAAAGCCCAGCAGGGCCAGCACTGCCCCGTGCCCTGCCCTGCCACAGGAGATGGCCCAAACCACAGCAGCCAAGGGGTTCTGGGATGGGGACAGCGAGGAGGAGCGCTGGGACCTGGCCTGAGGCGTGGGCTGGTATCAGACAAAGGCTACGGTTACCTTTCCATAGTCAATGGCTACTCCATCAAACTCACTGGTGGGCAGAGATTTCCGCTGGATTTTGAGGCGCCGCAGGGACGGGAGACTAAACTTCAAACTCCTACCTTCACCTTGTTAAAAAGAAAAACAAAACACAAGAGAGAAAGGTGTGACCTAGCTGCATGTGATGGCTGGAGTGAGGCGGGACAGGGGAGAGTTTTGGGTGGCTCTGGGGGACGCACATGCTGTGTGGCCCTTCCTCCTCCAAAGCACTGGATGTTCCCATGCCATCGCAGTGCCATGTGCTCAAGGCAGACCCTGACCTGGCAGCAAGCTCCTCTGAGCTGGAGAAGAGTTCCCTACAACTGTGGATGTGAGATGGGAAAGGTGCAGAGCATCCCTAAGCCAATTAAAGAGGTTAAAGCCAATTAAGGGATTTGGTCCCGGAGGAAATAGAGCCTCTAAATCTCCTTGGTGGAACTTTAGGGAAAAAAAACCCCCCACACAATAGAGATGGTAATTTAGAAAGGCACAGAAAGAAAAGTAGTTCTAATAATTTTATTCCTGGATTTGTTTTGAATTTTCAGTGAGGGAATTTGGACAACAAAACCAGGATCCCTTTCTGGCATCACAGGGGACCAGGAGACCACCTCACGAGGGACTGGGGCTGGGACAAGGGCAGCCAGGGCTGCTAGGAGCTGGGAGAGAGGTGCAGGAGAGGAAGAGCCCAGATCTGGAGAGGGCCCAATGCCCCTGGTTGTGACACTCAATGCACAGACACTTGTCCTTATGCTCACTTGCTAGTGCAGAGCAGTGTGAGCAGCTGGGCTCACACCCTCAGGGCCTGGCTCAGCCCTGAAGCTCATCCAGCAGCACCAACTCTGCTCCCTAACTGCACAAAAGGTGGCCTAAAATCCTGGGGTGCATGGATGTGGCATGAGCTCCACAAAGACATTGTCCCCTGGGAAAAAGCAGCACATTGAGGAGCTCTTTGGTTTTGGCAAGATTAGCTTCTCTCATCCGGCCCCAAAACACCACCAAGCTGCTTGGGCAGGGTCCCAGCCTGCCAGAAATGCCCCTGCCCATGGGGTACCACACTGGCTCCCTCTGTTCACCCCATCCCCACTGCCTAGAGCAGCTGTTCAGCTGGAAGAAGCAAAGCATCCAACCTTCCCTGCACACCAGCGAGCTGGAGACCAGCAATGCAGCCACCTGTGGCTATGCAACGAGAGACTGAGCCAGAAAACCTGAGCACAAGAGCCTGATCTGGGTGGGCACCAGCACCTCTGGCCTTTCCACACCCCCTGGCACTGGAGTGGGAAAGCCAAGAAACACAACATCCTTTGGGATGCTCAACACAACGTCCAACGTGCAGGGAAGTGACAGGTGCTCTTGATTTGGGTGCCTCCTGCCATGTCTTTGGGTGGGATGGGATATGGCTGCATCACATGTTGGCATATTCTGAGAGCTGGTGGGGCTGCAAAGCAACCCTGGAGCTGGGATTTAGGATTTCCTCAGCAGGTCATGCACAGAGGTTAGCTGGTACTAAAGCAATCCATCAAAACCATGAATCTCATCACTCCACAGACCCACACACACATTTATCTGTCCATTCACACCCACACATCCACGAGCCCCCTGTGTGCACGCCTGCCCTGAGCACACACAAACCCACACCAAACTCTGCTGGTTCCTGCTGCCACACACAGACACCTGAATGCTCCAGGATAGAGATATGGGCCGAGCAGGAATGCACTGGGACTCACACACACCCCAGTTCAATGGCCACTTGTCCCCATGGCTCCCTGATGTGGCCCTGGCTCTGGTCCTGCTGTGCCACCCCATGTGCCAAGGGGGGACAGACCCAGAGCTTTATTTTGAGGCCTGCCCAAAGCCTCCCAACAGCACCCTGAGGGAATGTCACCATGGAGGCAGAGGTGGGGTTATTTCCTGACTCAGGTAGAGGTGACCAACTGAGGGCTGTATGGAAGGAGGAGATTTAGAATCACAGCTCTTTGTCAGGTCTAACATTCCAATATCCACATCCCCTCAAGAGCCTCACACAGCTTCCCTTTGATCCAGTCTTCCCAAAAAAGGGAATTTGGGTTTCCCACTGTCTCCAAAACCATAGGATGAGCCTAGGAGAGCGGGGAATAGCCTGAAGCTGGGGCAGGCTGAGCCATCACAGTGCAGCCATCCTGGTGCCATTGGCCTGCAGCGACACCCCCACAGCACAGCCATGCTCTTGGTGACCCCAAATGTCCCCTGGCCCTGCTGGTGACCCCACACACAGGTCCTGCCCCACAGCAGCACCTCCAGTCCAAGCCAGTGTTAAACATGGAAAAGATCCAGCAATGCAGGGGGCTCACAGAGGGGACTCCACAGCCCCACTTCCAACGAGACCCCCTCTCAAAAATGCTCCATCCCATGCAGAACAGGCTGGGCAGTCCCAACCCTGTTCCCCAGGCCTCTGGGATTTTTGGAAGCGTATGCAGGCAGCTGTGAAGGCAAGGGGAGCCCAGCTGGCCCAAACAACCTTTCCCCATCCAGCTGGGGTTTGGCTGGGCAGGCAGAGCTGCGGCTGTGCAAAAACACAAACCTCCTCCCATGCAGGATTCTGCCCAGACACAGAGGCATCCTTCAGTCCCCCTGTGATCCCAAACAAGCTGTGGGGTGAGGATGCTGCACTGCCCTCTCAGGGCATCCTTCATACCCCCTGTGATCCCAAGCAGACCCTGGGATGAGGATGCTG